CCTGCTCGGATCTAAAGCGTTCGCCGCGACGGGACCCCCGTGCTGGAGGTGGAAGCCCCGCCGCTGCCGTTGCTGCTGCTGCTGCTGCTGCCACTGGCCCTGCAGACCTCAGCGCCGGCCTCTGATTCTCCCAGCGGGCTGAAGAGGGGGGACTTCGTTTTATTTGATTTTACCCTGCCCTCCTCTGCTGGGCTTTTTTTTTTTTGTTTTGTTTTGTTTTGTTTTTTCTTTTTTTTCTCTCCCCGCGCCGTTGCGTGCGGGACGGAGCGGTGCGCGGCTCGCCGTTCTGCCTGGACCAGCTGGCGCTACAGGAGCCCTGATGTCTTCATCTGACTCCCCGCAGTTGTTGATGGAGTGTCTTTCTCAGGTTTCCAGGCAGGGTCCCAAGAGCAGCACCCAGCGCCAGCTCCCGCTGCCAGGCGGCGCTCCCCGCGCCCCGCGCCGCGGCCGCCGCTGCTGAGCGCGGCTCGGGGCCGCAGCGGGCGGAGACCCCCGGGCGCCGCTCGTGCCGCGGCCGCCTCAGCACCTGCGGCGGCGGCGGGGGGTCCCGTGCCGCCCGCCGCCCTCTGCCCCCGGCGGGACTCGTGAACTCTTCCCCCCTCCTCCCGAGCCTCCCCCCGCCCCGAACCCGCGCAAAGAGGGTCCCGGCGGTCGGCCCCCGACCTGGCCCACATGCATCTGCCGCCCGGCCGCTCGGCTTCCTGGCGTTAATGTCCATCTCGGGTCCGACGAGACCAGCTCGGAGGTGAGGGCGAGCGCTGCGCGCTGGGCGAGGGGCCGCGCTGGGAAGGAGGGGGCCGGGGTGGGGGTCCCCTCGCCGCCTGCCCGGCTTGGTCCGGAGCTGCCCCGCGGCCCCGCGCTGCCGCTCCCGCGGGGACACGGGCAGCGAGAGTCCGCAGCCGCGGAGCCCCTCAGGGAGAGCCGAGCCCGCCGCGCATCCCTCTGCACGGCCGCGCCAGGCACTGGGTACCGGGCATCGGGCACTGGGTCGCGGGTACCGGGGAGCGGCAGCTGGAACCGCCGGACACGGCTCGGGACCGCCGTCCGGGCCGGGTCGGATCCGRTGGGGCCGGGGGGAGCTGTCCTCCCCGCTGGAGGATCTCAAAGTGCCTGAGTCGGCCCAGCCGCGGGCAAGGAACCGGGACGGCCTGGAAGGGAGTGAGGAAAGGAGATGAAAGGAAAAGCAAAGGGAAAAAAAAAAAGGTTGGGGGAGGGAGTGAAATAAAAGAGAAAATGGAAAGAATGAAGGAAAGGAGACAGAAATGRAAATGAGATGCAAAGCAAAAGGAAGGGGGAATTTGAAAGGGAAAAGTAGAGGAAAGGGGCAAAGGGAAGGAAAAATGATAGGGCAGAAAAAGGAAAAGGAGAGAGGGAGACGAAAGAAAAGGGAAGAGGAGAGGGAAAAGGAGAGGAAAGTGCAAAGAAAAGGGAAAGGGGAGAGGGAGAGGAGAGGAAGAAGTTTGAGAGGAGATGAAAAAGAAGAGGGAAAGGCAAAAGGAAAAGGTGAGGGGAAGGAGAGGAGAGGGAAAGGAAATGTGAAGGAAGGGGAAGGGGAGAGGAGAGRGAAATGGGAAAGGAAAAGTTTGCCTGGAGCCCTGTAAAGCACCCTGGCCCTGCGCCAGGGGCCAGCCTGGCCCACCCTGTCCTGGCCCAGCCCGGGAGCACCCACCTTGGCACCCTGCCTGGGTGCTGGGGGAGGACGTGCGCAACGTGGCTTGGCTGCCCATGTGGGGACACGGCCAGTCCCTAGGTGGCCTGGGAGCAGTCCCCTAGGATCTATTAGTCCACAGCCTTAGCTCCCAGGGCAGTAGCCCTGGCATGGGGGGCTGGTTAGGGGCTGCAGAGGACATGATCCTCTTTCCCTCTCTCACTGGGAAAATCCATTTCCATCCGCAGTAGGTGTCAGAGGGAGGGATGGGCCAAGACGGAGGTTGTTTCCCCTTGTCCCATCCCCAGGCCCAGCTTGGGTATCTCAGAGCTGGCAGGGAGGGCCCAGGACTGGGGAGCTCCCCCGCAACAGCCGCCGTCTAACCCTGCATCTCCCCAATGCCAGGGGCCCGTGTTGGACGGAGATCTAAGATGAAGTTATGGGATGTTGTGGCTGTCTGCGTGGTGCTGCTCAACACGATCTCCACCTCGCCCCTGCCCACCGGTAAGACGCCTCCCAAGGGGCCCCCTTCAGTGCTAGAGGGGCCTGAAGACGATCTCTCCCCCATCAGCCTGCCGCCTCCCTATGCTCTGCACAGTGACTGTAAGAACCATTCCCCTTCGTAGACACCGCTGTCTGTCTTGCTAAAGCTGCTCCCGTTTGCCCGGGCCTCGGGGCGAGGAGAGTGTCCCCCCTTTCTGACTCATTTCTCACCCAGCGAGGCCAATGGCTCTGCTCTGGCTGCAGCAGCCACCAAGCAGGGCTGGTGACCAGAGAGGCAGGGCCCCCCTTCCCTTTACTCTACCCTTGGTTCTGCCTTCCAGGCACTCCTAAGATCCCTTTGGTTGAAAACCCCCGGAAGATGGGCAGTTAAATTGTATGCAAAGGAGCTGACAGGAGGATCAGGTACATGCGCTTAGCAATGCAGGCACAAAGTGCTCCCTCCCCAGCCCCTTAACCTGCTCTCCGTGCTCAAGTTTGCCCATACTGTGACTTGCTGTCTGTAGAGGGCAGAAGTCCTGCTCAGGATTGGTGTGAGGCACCGCACGCGCCCTGGTGCTGCTGCGTTTCGCTAAACCCTCTCTGAATCCTCATTCTGAAATTAGTGTGTGTCTGCCTGGAAATTTACAGCAGAATAACAGGAGCGGGGTTAGGAACCTGCTGTAGACACCTCCCCAGGAGGCAGCTTACGGAGAGGCAGCTTGGCRTCCGAGTGACAGAGAATGATGCCCCCCTAATAACAGGTCTCCTACAGCAGCAGATACAGCRTTTCCACCGCAGCGTGCAGTTGTTACATTAACACCAGGGTCTTCTTAAAGTAGGAACTAATATGACTCAATAAGTGCCAAATACTCACATAGACTGTAGAGGTGTTCACTTAGCAAAGGCAGAAATGCAGTGCTGAGGCTGCTGTTTTTGCTCTTGCTCTTTGCTTAGCTGCTGTAGGATGCAGAGAGCATGCAATGTTCAGGATTTGTTTTATCTTCTTACTCCAAAGTAGCAGGGCTGTGGTGCAGCTTAGAAGTGACATGCAGGAGAATCCCTCTGTTGCAGTTCCTCCTTGCGTCAGCTCTCCCACGTTCATCTCCTTTCAGTCTTACCCCCCCACACACTAGTGCACATCTTGTGTCCTTCTGTATTTAGTCTCTTCTATTTCCTTCCCTTCTTCTCATTTTTCCCTGTTGTCATCTTTCCTTGGCTACCACCTCCTCTTATTTCCATCTGCGTCTGCAGTTCAGTGACTGACATCCCCTGCCATCCTTTCCACCCCTCATCATGTGGGTATTGGCCAGAAGAGCTTTCTCCAAGGTCCCCATCCTGCAAGGACTGCAGAGCTTTTACAGCCCTGTGATCTTGCTCTTCAGAACATGCTTCAGGATGCAGAAGGTCCTTGGGCACTGGCTGATCCCTCCATCCCCAGAGATGTGCTTTTTCAGGCAGTCATGACAGTCACCTTCACAAGGGCTTGTTCAACTTCTGAGGGAAGAAGAGAGTGTTAGGAAGAAGCAGCACTAGCTGATTTCTAACTTGGACAAAAGCTGCAGGGTGAGAGCACATTAGTGCACTACACTCCAGGGCTGAAGTATTTCTACAACATTCACTTTTGTCTGAAAACTCACTTTCAAAAAGGTATTTCCTCATAAGCTGCTTTCTCTGCAGCAACTGTAGGAGGCAGGCAGCATAAGTCTTGTCTTTTCCTAGCGTCAAATTAATCTCCGCATTTCCTCTTTTTTTATGGGTTGAGCAAACAAGAAGTAGGGAAGTAGAAAGACTGACTGTATTTTACCTGGGCTATGCTGCTATCAACAGAAAACCTCTTCCAGAAATCTCTACTTCCAATCTTCCTGGTTAGTCTCTGCCAGGAAGAGATAGACCATAGCTTATTATCCAGGATATTCATTTTAAGAAAAGCCGATGATTTGGTCTTGATCTCTTAACCATGCAGATCACAAATAGAAGAGTCCATCAGCAAGGGAAAATAAGCAGCATTGTTCTTCACAGCAGAAATGCAGGGAAACCCGTGGAGTTTCTGTGATCTTTACACAAGAGCGTGCAGTATCCATGCCCAAAAGTTAGAAACTCCTCTGTCAGCTAGACTGCCAAGTCTGATGAGTCAGGGGAGACTTGCATAAGAGCAGCTGTATGAAAGCAGGGAAATACTTTGATTCACTTTTGCACTGTTTTAGTTGATTTTAAAATGTGTGGTGTCTGGACCGCATTCTGGAAACAAAGAGCCTGCAAAACTGGCCATATGCAGCCATGGTTCTGCTTTCCTCGCTGCAGCAGCACTTGGATCCACAGTAGCCACAGCCAGAGCATGTGACATATCTGTCTCTCTCCATTTAGTGGCACACACTTTTCAACATATGAGTTAGCACAGTGTTCACAACAGACATCATATCTACACCATATCTACAGCATGCAGGCCTCCTCCTCAGAGCTTCTTTTACAAGCAGAGGGCAATGTGTTGTGAGCATGCATGCATACTTACAGCTGCTCTGCTARTGGACCTACCGTGTACTCATTTCTCTGTGTATACTAATGGTTCACAGCTTCACCAAGTGCCTTTGCATGGGTCAGTTCCCAAAGTTGTAGAAGCTTCATCGTAGTTAGCTACGATGAAGATCATTATATCATCTGCACAAGGCAACCTGTGGATGCTGAGCAGTGCTGGCTACTGTGTGCTTTCCAAGACGAGGGCATTGCTGTCCCTAGAGCAATGCACACGTGGGATGAGTGCAGAGCACCTAGGGCATGCTAAAGTATGCACTATACCTATTCACATATAGAACAGGTTTCTAATATTTTGCCGGGAATGGTGGTTAGGAGGGATGCAAGATCAAGTCCAGCCTCTTGGGGCAGCCAGATACATTGCTAGAACACAGACCTGTGTTCCCAGGTCTTGGCACTTTCATGTGTTCTTGTTTGATGGGATTGCTTTCTCTCCAAAGTGCCCCGAGGTCACCCGATGCTATTTCATCTCTTTCAAATTGACTTGAAACCTGTCCTCACTCCAGATTATAGGCAAGGTCTTTACCTTCCCAACTGCTCAGGTGTAGTGTGTTGACCTTTTTTGTTCAGGTCAGTAATTAGAGATAGAAAGAGTCTTGACAACTGCAGGCCTCTGCATTTTCTACTGAAGTGGACATGGRTGATAGTAGACTCCAAAAATGTAGTGGATGGGATGAATCCTCTGTAGGTGTTCCARGCAACATGGGACAGCTTATGTCATGGAAGAAGAGTAGCTGCAAGGCAGGGCTGTAAAATCAGAAAACCTTTTCTCTTTTTTACTTATGCTATAGTCTACTGAGGGAARGACATAGTTAGCTGTAATAGCAACCACAATCAGAACAATTTTGAATCATATTACATACAAACTAAGCCAGCAATTTTGAGATATAACAGTACAGATGGAGCCAATCACTAGATTTGACTTACATGAGCTTCCCAGGAAATACATTTTATAACTGCTTGCCCCTGTATAGTTGCAGTCAACAGATATATGAAAACTAGAGGACTGTAAATCTGCAGAAGATGATATATAGTCGTGTGATCAACAGTGGGCATCTTGAGTAAGAATCAGCAGTATGTATGTCAAAATAAACGAAAAAGCTCACTGTGGACATTTCCCTCCTAAAAAAGGGAAAATATGTTCTTGTGCATTGCAATGGCTGGAGGAACTCCATGGCCACTGATTTGCTGCTGGCACCCCCTTTGATATGGTATACTGTAACATGACATGTTATACACAGATTATATCTCTGTAAACATTTTTCGTATCCTTGCTAAAGGGTTATTCAACGTTAAGTAACTGCTTTTAGCTGGAACATTATCCATTAGCATGGGAAGTATCTAAAATAAACAGTTATGTTATAGTGCTCTTTAAGGCAAAGTCAGTACTAAAGCATACTGCCACGTGAACATGTTTCTTTCTCTGCAGTGCTTATTAGACACATTCAGTGTTAAGGAGCAGAACTCTCCTATTTCTATCTACATACTATGCAGCATATGCACTTTAAAACATCCATAAGCTATAGRGGCAACATGCCCATGCACAGTAAATCCAGGGCCTCTTAGAGGTATCTGATGTACAGAACAGGAGCCACATTGCAGCGTTTGATCTGAGTGTATAGAGCAGTGCATCCAGCCACTGTCAAACTGYGTGTGCATATATCACTGTGCTATATCACTATATAAAGTCTGTCTGCATGGGCATAGCCAGCGTTTAAAGGCATTCAGAGATCAATTGCTTTTTGTGTGTGTGGAAAAAAAAAAGTCTAGAAAAAAAGAGCAGGACATCTGGGGAAATCCAGAGCATGTTGCCCTGTCTAGATGCCATTCTTTCCACAGTCTCAAATATACCTGCTCAATCTACTCCCATGAAGGGTGTTTTGAAGGCTAAGATTGAAATAATTGAAATGTAAGAGATATAGTTTTATTTTCATTTTAAAGGCTAGCTTTTGTTTAAAATTTTGTATTTGACTACTCCTAAGCTTAAGAACCTCAAAAATTTTCCAGCGGAAACAGGGATCCTATTAGATGTTTTTCAGATGTGGGCTGCTAGTTAACATATCTGAACATGCTTTTCTTAGTCACCTTTCAGAGGCCTCTTAAGCATAATTCAGAAATCCCCCTGCTGAGGGTCTGCAGACCACAAGCTGCAAATCCCTTCTTGGAAGGCTGAGAATTTCGTCCAAGTAAATGACTGTGGATGAATGGATGGGGGATGCATTATTTTGCTGCTGGAATAAGATCCTCAAATTGATAGGTTGCAAAGTCTTTGCAAATTATACCGTTCCTGGCTAGGACTATGCAGAGTAAGTTCAAAATACATAGAGTTACAGAGGCTCAGAGGAGATCCTGAGTTCATTGAGTCCCACTTTCTATAACTCCTGTCCCTCTCCTCAGCACACACTACCACCAGCTGCTACTTGAAGCTTTTATGTGGGACAAAACTCCAGTTGCTGAGGAATCTCATACTTATGAAATAGCAAGTTAACCTTCAGAGCCATCAAACATCTAAATAAGCCACTAACACATTAGTACTGATAGACTGGTTGGCACAGGAGAATGATCATTTCTAGCCAAAAAGAGCTGTGATT